TTTATTTATAATTTTTCTCTAGGTATAAAAATTCAAAGAATTTCTCCAAGAATAAGATTAAGCATAAGAATATCTGGTGGAAGAGGGGATAGAGGTGTATTTTGACTCCTGTTCCAAAGATAAATAAGAACTGTATCTTTTATCATGACTCAAATGAATGATAATGAGGATAGTGGAAGATGCCATCTGTTAGTTCTTTCTCAAATGACCTGACATTCAAGGCATAAGTTAAGTCACTCTGGTGGTTTTTGAAGACAGAAAATCAAATAAAGTCTTACAGATGATCTAGTCAACAAAATGACATGTTTAAAAGGCAAAAAAATTTAAGAATCTCGAATTTCTAATTCCAACTCTGCTACCATTTGCCAGTGGGTATACCTCAGCATGAATGGAAAAATAACCCTGTCCTCAGCCGGGTTTCCACATGCATACTGTGCTATGAGCAATGCTCCTACTGGTTAAAATAGAGGTTTTGCAATTGGTAGTTGTGGCATCCACTGAATAACTCAGTGGTTTTTGCACACAGCTGCTCATTACCTGGGGAAACTACAAAGTAAGAGTCTAATAAATCGATGGGTCTGCTCAGCTAAGGTTCATTTGTATCCTGTCTCATGTTTATATCAGGAGAGAAGGGAGTTAAGACAGCTCAGGTTATTTTTTCCATTTAATTGTGGACATTCTATGGATATTTTTAGTAATTACAGAATTCCAGCCAAAACCAGCTGATTAAATCCCCCATGAATACTGACTGCAGCATCTAAACAGAAGATATTTGAGCCACCCTAATAGATCAATTATTTAGACATGGACTTTGTCTCAGTAGTCTTCATATTAGTTGGTAGTATAGCTTGTGGAAACAATCTGCATCGACTCAAAAATAATCTGAAAACATTTAATGTTGTATGGCATATGGTCCAACTGCATTAGAAAATTTACATGAAAAGAGGCAACGTAGAAATAGTAAAATTTGAAACCTGGACTTCCAACAACGTAGAGGTTATTGTCCATAACCAAGACCAGTACCTTCCTGGTCCTCTCTGTGAGTCCACGTGATTCAGAGATTAATTTCTACAAGAATGGTTTCTATCAATCAAATGTCATCCTATAATGTTTTGCAAAATAAAGCATTTTAACGTATAAGCAGCATTGGAATAACCCGGATGTGGCCTTTACAATTTCTGGATGTACTACTGTGTATTTCAATAATGACACTCTAAGTCATCAATTTACATACAGATTAGGTCTTCTCCGAACTGATGCTGGCCAATATGTTCAAACAATGATGACAGCATGGGCAACAGGGCCACCGTGGTGTAATTGATGATCTGAGTCACCCCTTTGGGTTGGTTCCGGGTGTGGGTGAACTGGCCTTGCTTAAGATTTTCCATGGTCTTCTCCAGGTCCTCCGCGGCATTGTCCAGAAAAGCTCGGAGTGCACTTTTAACACTCTCCAGGCCAGTCTTCATCACAGTCCTAGAAAGGACGTAGGGGACAACTTATACCTTCCGACAGGAGCAAATGATATACAAATAAAAAGTGATCCTACGTTACGGTTATTCCTCCATTACAGTACCACCTAGTCAACTAAATTTTTAAATCAACTCTAAAATAATTGTTTCCGATCTACTTGAAGTTACAGCAGTACTGCTCTGTAAATCACCTTCCCCAAACGCCTTCACAGCCAACTTAATTAGGACCTGGGAGCAAAAGGCTGTGTTATTGCTTTATGTTTTCCATTAGTGGCCTCAAATTTTGAGGATAATTATTTTATAACTAACAAAACACAGCTTCTGAGCCAGTTTAGTTAATCTCAAATCCAACAAAGCTAGAATGTTTCCTGAAACAATGGGTATGAAAGAAACATTTAATGCCAGGTAGACCCACATACCAAATGATACAGATATTTTGTGCTTTAAGGGGGAACAATCAAGTCATTGCTAAAGAAGCCTCTGAAGGCTGAACTTTGTATGCAAGTAACATCCACTCCAATGCCACTAATTGTAGTAGGAAATGAAGATCTATAATGGTGTCTCCTTTCTGCATTTATTATAGGAAACACTTCAAGTAAAATCCTAAACACAAGAACAGACAATCAAAGAGTATCATGGAGTATTCTCTTTAGGAGACATTTATAACTTTTATTTAGATTTGTCCTGGATACTATATGAACTAAATGTATGGCTTGACAGCTGAATTGATCATGCTACACAAACTGATTTTGTAGTTGGTCAACAACATGCTTGATTTCTAGTCAAGCTGATAGCAGAGCAGAGTGGAAGGTACACAGCCTGGGGACTCAGTCTACCTACACACTTACTATGCAATCTTAAGTGTCACTTTACTCATCTGTAAAATGAGAATGGAACTCTCTTGTTTCCTACAAAGCCAAATGTTATGAATGTTGAGCACAAATACCATGCCTGGAAGCTAAGAAAACCTCTAAAGTTGTCAATCTACCATTTTTTTCCCTCACATGACATATTACCAATTCAACCCTCAGTTGTATTCCTAGCTGCTACAGAAATTACTCGAAATTAAATAATCTATATTGATCATAAAAATAAACTGCCATTGTATTAGTAATTTACAAGTTTCCTTTTCACCTACACTAAAAGTCTTTATTATAAATCCAAAGAATAAAATCAAACACTGGGTCCTTCTTAGCATTCTTATATGTATATCATCGTTACAGTCATTTATTTAGATAACAATGTATCCACTTACCTTGCATCCAAAGTCTGACCCAAAATATGAAGACAGTTGACAATTGACGTCGCATCATTCCCTAAGGAGGAAACAAAACGTGCATAAATTGCCCCGAGAATTTCTCAGTGTTCTTTTCTATTAATATTTGTGTTATAAAAATTAGTCAATGGCATAACTCAATAATAATTTAAAGTATTTTTTAATAATAAAGTTTAAAATCATGCAGTTTTTCTGCTTAAAAGTGGTTATGCAAATGTAAGTAGAAAAGCAATAAAGCATGTCTCACCAAATAGCCGACATGCTCAAGAAGCATTCAAAAGCACTGCACCACGCTAAAAGGGTTTTAACTGAATTCTTCAAGTATATTACCCTCCCCATCCTAGCTCATTTTATTTTAAAATCATATTGTATGCAAACTTTTTAAGTCAGCTCATATCCTTCATGAAATGAGGTGGGCTAAAGGTCTAAATATTTTAATTCCATTTTAATTACTCCAAGTGTCTCTTTCATATTTCATTCAACTGCATTAAGATGAATGAATCTGCCTGAATTTGACTGCATTAAGATAAATTAATTTGCCTGAATATTGTTGGTCTTTGCCAAAAAAAAAACCCAAAAAAACAAAAAAGCAGCACCAAACCATAATGTAAATAAAAATAAATAATTAGAGGCCAAAGAAGTTAAATAATAGTCTTATGAGATATTTGAAATGGGAGTAACTCTTCTTGAAAGTAATATGAAATTCACTCATTTTGATTCGCATATTTTATCAGGAAGCACAGAAATATGAGTGATAAAAGCACTATATATAATTTTCTTTGTGATAGCATTATAGAAAAGTAAATAAAATGATGAATCCAAAGTAACAAAATAAACTGACCACTTACAATATAGTTCGGCATTATCAGTTCCTCATTCTACACTTTTCATTATACACATACACACACACACACACACACACACACACCCGTCATCTCCTGAGTCCTCAGGTTGTCAACTCCTATTTTAATGTAAGTTTTTGAAAATGTTATATTCTTTATACAAAAATGTATCCTAAAATAAATGACTTCAGTATACATGGAAATAACTGTTTTAGAACATGGGCAAGCCAGTTTAGTAATATGATGTAAATAAGAAAAACATAAGTTTTTACTAAGACTCTGAGTTCTTTAAGAACTCAATTCCATTTATCTTGTGTTATAAATCTCAGAATTTCTGCTAATAACGAAGACAAAATGAGCAGAAAGGCAGAGTTTGTTACTTCCTCATTTATTGACAGATGCTGGTCCTAGGGCTTCTACTGCAGCCCTTAGAAGTATTATTCATTTAATTATTCACTCACTCAACAAATACATATTAAATACCAAGCACTCTCAAACTTTTAGTAATAAATAAAATAAATTCATCATGGTATTTGCATTTTAATAAAGGATATAGATAATGAGCCATTTAGGAAAAAAAATCAACATATAATGTCAGACCACGATAAAGAAATATATTTTAATAGCAGGGAACAGGGATTACAGTAATTGGATAGAATAACAGGGTGAGTGCTCATGGGTTTCTCTCCAAGGTGGCATCTGAGTAGAGGTTCTAATGACATGAAGGAACAAACCATGCATCTATCTGGGAAGAGGGCCCAGGCATAGGGGACATCACATGCAAAGGCTTTGAGGCTCTCAGGTGTTCCAAGCAAGGAAGTCAATCTGACCACTAAGGGGGTCAGATTAAGGGGAAAGAAGTAGGGTGTGAAGTGGAGAGGCGAGGAGAGGACAGGTTCTAGTCTGGCAACCAGAGAAAAGCACATGGATTTTTTTAAGTGCAACAGGAAGACATTCATAGGTTTTGAGCAGTATGTGATAAGAAAAGAATTCACAATGTGAACAACTCTGGAACAGCAAGAGGGGATATTAATCAGGAAGCTATTGCAGGAGCTAATCAGTTGACTGATGATGGTGAATTCAGACTGGGATATTAGTGGGGAAGAAATTAAGGATATATTTTAAGGATTTACTTATGGATTGAATGTGAGGTGAGGGAGAAAGGAGCCAAGGAAAACACTAAAGTTTTTCATCTGAGAAATGGGTGACCCGTGGTACCGTTTAATAGTACGAAGAGAGCAAAAGGAGAAGCTGAGTGTGGAAGGACGGGGAGAGAGGGGGACGGCCACTGCTTTGCACATGTTAAGTGTGATGGGCCTCTTAGTGATTCAGGTAGAGATTTACCACAGGCAATTAATATAAAGTTCTGCAGTGCAGGGAACAGATCTGAGCTGGAGCTAAACATTTGGGCATCATAAACATACAGATAACTTCTAAAATCATGGGTCTGAATGGAATTAGCCAGCATGAGTATAAGTACAGAAGAAAAAAAGTACTGAGACCTCCAGCATTTGGAGGTATAGAAGACAAGGAAGATGCAGCACAGAAAATAAGAAAGAAAAGGCCTGTGGAGAAGCTGGGATGCAATGCCATGTGTATGAGTCCTATGCAACTGCTATTCCTATGCAAGTGCTGGATCAGAGAGGCTGGTCCCTTATTCTCTTCCTAAAACACACAATTCTGTTTCTGTCCCTTTCTCTTCTGAGCTACTGTCTCTTAGTACAGATGATCAGTGTTTGCACCAAGTTCACCGGTGCCCTTTGCCATGGGGTGACCAGGAGTATTTTAAACTTCCCATTCCTGTAAGCTCAAGAGGCTGGGATTTTTGTTAGCTTTGTTCTCTTCACCTGAAATAGTGTATGACATATAGCGGGCACTTGATTAAGTATTTGCAGAAAGGCTATGTGAGGTGAGTAAGAAGAGTAGGATATAGCACCAGTGGCCTGACAAGTTCTGTGGGTTGAATGAAAGTATGTACTGGGAATATGAGATCTCTGTGAGTGTTAAAGTAACAAAGTGTAAGCTCCATGAATCTTTACATGTCGGTATATGCCATATTACATGCAATACAACTTTCAATGGAAACACCTCAGTGTAAAAACTGGTGGGAAAGGGACCCTAAGAAATGTAGAAAAAGTATGCATTGAGTCTTCAACATTTTAATTTGCAGACCCAACAAATGCATGTGAAGGCTGCCTAAAATAATGGTTATTCTTGAAGAGACAGAGTATGTGGTGACATGAATATTGCCCTTCTTAAGGCTATCCAGATTACCATCATCAGAAATATCAATCATGCTATTAGGAAGAACAGGAAGGGCCAGTAAACTGTGCTAGGATAATAAAACTTTCAGGTGGTGATGGCATTTTCATGTGCCTACATTTATGTAATTGCTTAATTGCTCTGAGTGGTATGAAAAAAGAAAGTCTGATACTTTACACGCAACTCACATTATTTCAAGGTCCCGGCTACTTCCCTTGTCCTCAAACATACCTTTCATCAACTCTAAACACCCAGAGTAACAATTACAGATTGCCTGTTTGTCCTTAAGATTGTGTGTTTGTATCAGTGCGTGTGTTGTGTAAGCATAAGGGGTACATAATTAAAATCACAGTTTGCACATAAGTGTTGATTGATTGGTTCCAATTTAATGGTGAGTACATGCGTGGTGTTTGTTTTTTCATTTTTGTGATACTTCACTTAGAAGAATGGTCTCCAGTTCCATGAAGGTTAATACTAGAGGTATTAGTTCACCATTTTTTATGGCTGAGTACTACTCCATGGTATACACATACCACATTTTATCAATCCACTCATGTATTGATGGACACTTGGGCGTTTGCACACTATCTGGGTGAAGGGCACACTTATAACTTTGACTCAAATGGTATAAAAACAATTTATGTAACCAAAACGTTTGTACCCCTGTAATATTCTGAAATTAAAATAAACAAATAAAATCACAGCTTGCATCTGATTCTAATAACAATGGACACTGGGTTTTAAAAAACATAGCGACTCTCATAATGCAACTCCCTAAATAATAAAAATAACAAAGTTAAATATGTAATATAAATATAAATAATATAAATAAATTTTTTGGACTTTAATCCAAGTTGTTTTGCAGTTTTTAATATAAGGTTTCTATACTCAAAAATTCTCAATGCTATCTCCAATCTGAAATATCAGGTAACACTTCTGTGTTGTAATCTGACAGACTGAGGATTCTCAGAATGTTGACTTTCCTCTGGAGACAGCAACAGCATTCATCCTAATTTTTCTTCTTCTCTACTTTATTTTTTAACATGGCTCTTGAAATGATGTTGCATATTTTCTCCTTGGAAGAAATTATGAATCTTGGCAGAATCCTTATTAATAATGTGAAACAACATTACACTAGAGCATAAAAATTTCTCTCATAATTATGAAGGAATAGAGAGAAACCAAAGCGTGTCAATTACTTTATTACTTTTAAAAGTCTGTGATATTCAAAAGAGTGAAATTACTGGTTCCCTAAATTGGTGAGATGTTTTAGTTAAACTGAGAACACACTCTGCATTAACTACATATTCTATTCATTTGTCTCCAAGTCAGGAAGTTCTCCCAAAATGCTATGCTCAATTGAAGGAAATATCTGTATTGTTCTAATATTATCTTCTGATATTACTTTCATTATAGGTACCTGATTCAAATATTTGTGAATTTATTTCTCTATCAAAAATAGATTTTTATAGTATACATAAACAAGTTAAAGCTAGGAAACTCTTGTCTTTTCCATGTATACTGTCACTGAACTACAGAATTTTTAAATGAGAGAAATACCTTAATGATCCTTCAGTTACAAATAAAAAGGATCAGCAAATAGTAACAGATTGTGCATGACTGAACCACTCAATTCTCAGATATGCTCTGTCCTCAGAGATTCTGAGCGCTTTAAATGATTGTCCTTTCATTTTTACGTGTCTTACCAAGCAAATGCAAGCACAATCTGAACCTTGACAGAGATATTAAAAACATATTAGTTTCATAATATCTCCTGATGCAGGATAGTAGTCATCATTTTAAACACATGAATGGCGTTTTGGAGGAGCTATTAGAGATATCAACATAATCCACTAATTTATTGATCAGGTAGAGATATCAGTTGATGAAATTCACTCTATTACTTTACTTACTATTTACCTTTAAAACTCTTCTA